GGAAAATAGTTAATTTCTCCCCTCCCTGTTGTGTGTCACCCCACCCACCCCCCCTAAAAAAAAAAAAAAGGATTAGAATGCTTCAGAGAAAAGTGATTGCACTTTATTGCAATTCCTAATTTTAAAGTGATAAGGCAGTGGCTGGTGGTACAGGGTACTCAATTAGATTGATGGCCTGATACAGTACAACAGTTATTGTAATTCAATTTGGAGCTTGTTTTGGGTAATATGTTACATAGCAGAATAGCTAAAGCTGGGATAGCTGCTGGTATTAGTAAGATTGAGCTCTTGCACCTTGAAATATAGGTAGCTGACTGACTTAGATTTTGTTGTTAAATGTCTTGGTATGGAAAAATGTGTTTTTCTGAAAGATACTTACAGTCAAACTTGTAGTTAAGCATGTTAACTGTTAGCACGGGGTGAAAAAAAACCCAACAGCAGTACTTTGGAGAATGTTTTGGTATGCATAGCGCTTAGAGCAGAATCTAGAATAGGGTCATATTTTACTTGATGTCTAAAACACTGGCAGCGAGTAACTGCATTATGTATTACGAATTTAACTAAAGAGTCTAGGTCAAATCATGATTCTGTTGATACATTCATTGTGATTCAGATGTTGAATTATTCTGCAGTCATGCAGAATGAAAGTATAAGCACTTAGGTCTATTTCAAAGGTAATAAAGATTTGAATGTTAGTCCAAATAGCTGTGTTAGCTGCATTTTGTGTATTCCCATCGTGTTTGTTTGGAATAAGTAAAGTTGGGAGTAGTATGTAAAGGGTGAAGTTGAGGGTAATGCTGCTTCTTATTTTCGAGAAAATATTATTTGTGCTGAAGATCTGAAAATTTTGTACTTGCTAACAGAGTTCTGATTTTTATTACAGTAATATTTAAAAAATGTTATTAACTTATGTGAAAAGTCTGTGCGAACAAAGAGAGAGTTCATTATTGTAGTTACAAAAGCATGTCTTCTGTGCATTTCTGTTGGAAGAAAAGAGCAGAATTAGATGTTGCAGAAAGCCTAATAGGAGGAGGAAGGAGACCAGCTAGAATTTCGTCTAGGTGGGACTGGCAGAAAAAAAAAATCTGTACTGTTTATATACTGTTTGACTTAACAGTTTTGCTGTAAAAATTTTAAAATTCTTGTTTGTAGAGTCCAGTTTTCACTTTTCATTTAGAACTATATGAATTTTAACTACTTCCACATGTTTGGGTTTTTTTTCTTTCACTTTCTCCTCTTGGAATCAGAGATTAATATCAAGACAAATTTCCATCATTCTATTGAGTTGCCATGAGCTTTTCGGTTTCTGACAAAGCTTATAAAGTGTCCCTTTAAAAAAATAATTTTATTTCTTTTTTGTCACTTAAAGCTGACTTGAAAGTACTTGACAGGGGCTTTTTTTGTTATTATTTGTTTTAAGAGGAGGACACAGGGTGGTAGATACATTTTATGTTGGTTCTAGCTTCTTTTTACAGTTTGTCAGTGCAAGAATTGTCTCCTGGTAGGCTGCAACTTAGAACAATCCAAATAATTTTGGCTTTCCAGCCACTCTTTGTCATTTAATGTATTGAACAAACTTCCTTACCTTGTCCTTTCTTGAGTTGTTGCTACGACATTGTGGTTCTTTTTTCGGCTCTTCCCCCCCGCCCCGCTTCAAAAGGGAGGAATCGGGACTAAGGTGAATTTCTGTTACACACTTTTTTCATTTGTGACTTCTACTGCAATGCTAAGTCACACGTACAAATTGGCACCGGACCAGGCTTCCTAGAGAGGTGGTTGATGCCCAAGCATGTCAGTGTTTTAGAGGCATTTGGACAATGCCCTTCATAACATGCTTTAACTTTTTTGGTCAGCCCTGAAGTGGTCAAGCAGTTGGACTAAATGGTTGTTGTGTAGGTCCCTTCCAATGGAACTCTTCTATTAACATTGTTAAAAGAAGATTATTATTTTTTTCTGATGGAGGAGAAAGTACTTCACCTGCAGAAAAACTTAATAGCTTGTTTTTAATAGATAATACTTAAGTTCTACCATTTCCTTCTTTATAGGAGAAAAAGGGAAAGAACTAAGTCCAAATAAAACCTCTAATAAAATAAGAGGGTTTTTCCCTAGCAGGTTTTACAGTGAAATGAAGCTTACTGTTTTATTTTTAAAAGTTCCTTGTGTGAGCTTTAGTCTTATATAGGAAAATGAGAGCCAAATGTTGACTGCGTATGGTTCATGAAATAGTTTCATAAGCTTTCTGGAACTGACAAGTGTTTAGATGGCCAGTGTCACTTTTTTCTTTTTTTTTTTTTTTTTTTTTAAAGCATACAGCTTATTTAGTATTGTTGAATCAGTTTGTTAATGAACTGGTTGTGAATGTTGTTTAGCGAACAGACTTTATGCAGACAAATGCTGGGTAGAAGCATCACAAAACTACTGTGTAACTTGACATAAATAGCTGTTGTCACACAAATGGACTTAAATGAGCAGAGATGTAAGGTATATATTATGATAAGATCTTTAATAGGTATGATCAAGAATAATACAAATAGATTGCACTTTTCCAAAACATTTGCTTTAAAACCTGCACGAGGAATTGAGCCTACCTAGTTTCTGTTAAAATAAAAAAGTGAACACATGGCTTATGACAAATCATGAGAAGTATGACTCAAGATGTCAGCTAGCTGTAGTTTTGGAATGTGTCAAAGCCGATCTGCTTCGTTTACTTTTAGATTTTGTGCATTTGTGAGCATGTGTAAAACTGAAGGGTCTTGAGCAGGATAAAATGACAACTGTATTGCATATGTAGTTCTAATATTTGTGGTTAAACCAAAAAATGACTAATTAATAATCTTTGAAAGGCAAGTTCAGGTTCTGTGGACATGAAGTCTGGTTTCAGATAGAATTATACAAAGGGCAGTATTGGTTAAGTTTTTGCGCTCCTTTTGATGGGAGCGAAGGAGAACTAAAGCTAAGGAAGTGGATCAGGGCTGTTGATGGCAGAAACTGCACGTAGCTTTGCCACTACTTATGGCTATTCTGATATTTTAGGTGTCTCGAGCACGTATTTTGACTGTGAGCCCTCCTTTAGGTAGAAAAAAGCAAGTTTTATTTGCATGTTACTGATAAGAAAAATGTATTGGAATAGCAAGTTCTGATTTCAGTGGATTATTTTTTGCCACTCTTCTAAAAGGGTGCCTATCTGACATTAAATTTAGTCATTTTAAATTAATAGATCTGTACAATCAACTATAACTTTATTTTTTAAAAATCTAATATTTTTTAAAGAAAAGCCTTTTTTTAACTTGTGTGAATTTTGTAACTTTTAGGTAGTCAAATTCAGACAGCTTGCAAGGCCTTTTACAAATGTAATACAATTCACAGAAGGAAAGTCCCGCTTTCCTGGAAACAGCTAAATATTTGCCCGCCGATGGGAAGTAGTGAACTAATTCCTTATTTTGCTTTGCTTGCCGTGCAGCTTTTGCTTTCCGTATTAAACTGTCGTTATTTCAACCCATGAGTTTTCACTCTTTTACCCTTCTGATTCTCTCCCCGATCCCACTGGGGGGGGGAGCGAGTGAGCGGCTGTGTGGGCCTGAGCTGCCGGTCGGGGTTAAACCACGTCAGGAGCGAAAGAGAAAACTTCCTCCTTCACTAGAAGGTTGTGTCGTCGTTGTTGGGAATTACTGGTACAAGCAAAGCTTTTCCAGAGCCTCAGTTTCAGACATCAGCACTCTTTATGTTAACAAAGTGCCAGAATACATGAAGCAATTACAGTGTGTCGGCAAGGTAGGAGCACATTTGGAGAAGAATGAGGTATATTCCTGTTAGTTGGGTGTAATACAGAAACATCATTCTGCCTAAAATGTCAGTCACAGCCTTCTCTAGTTGCAGAATAACAAAACATCACAAGCTTTTACTGCGCTACTTTTTTTTTTTTTTTTTTTTTTTTTTTTCCCTGCAAAGTAAAACTGTGAAGACATATTTCAGGCTGTATGAAGGATAAAACTACTACACACCAAATCCTGTACAAGAACTGAAGAAAACTGAGTTTCTGTCCTCCCTCTTAATTTTATTTTTTAAAATTTCCTTTGTTATACTCTAAGCTGACAATAGCTTATGCATTTTAAAAATGCTCTTTCTTAACTGAAACCTTTATGTTGATAGGATTTTACCGTTGTCACATATACATTTCGAAGCTTTTTTCCTTGTTATATAAGATGATCTTCTGATCTAGAATTATAGTAGTTCAAAAGAATGAACTGGTTTTGTCTGAGCAGTCATTAATACTGGTTCAACATTGTTACAATCAAGTGTTGAGAAGATCTGTTGCTGATAATAGGAGCTTGTTTTGATACTTTGTGCAGTTGAAAACAATAAGCAGTTACAAAACCTGGTCATGTTTGTAGCATAATAGAGTACCACATCTACCAGTTTTAAAGTTGAATTACTTAAGCCAACATTTTGTTTCAAAGCTTTAGATGTTAAAAAAATCCAATTGTGCAGCTTCAACAAGGTCTTGTAACTTAGGTGCATTGAGGCAGTATGTTTTTGCATTGTCTTCTACAAAGCTATGTTATTTATCTGTTATGTGAATCCTCCAAGAATTCTGTAGATGTTGCTGTGCTTACATTCTGTGTCTCATCTCTATCTTACAGTAACTTAAATTGACCAGACCACTGTTTAAATATAATATTGAATATATACTTTACATTTTTGACTAGGATTATAAAGGAGCTTATTAGTCTATGACCAACTGTGCCTTAAAGTCAGAAAGTAGTAAATACCAACAGTTCTCTGTACAAAGTGGCATGTGCTGAATAGAAAAATTAATTAGGACCAGCTGGAATGAATTACTGTACTTAAAGGTCATTATTTGTTTTTATCCTTAATATACTATAATTTTCTTAGGAATTTGTGTAACAATCTGGAAGAAAAAAAGATTAAAGCAGTAATTCTTAAAAAATATTATGTTCTTTGTCAAATGTTTTGTTTGCGTTTTCATATAATAGGTGAAATATTACAGACACTTGGCACCTGATCACTTGCTTCAAATATGCCATCGACTTGGACCGCTTCTAGAGCAAGAAATTCCTCAAAGTGTCCCTGGAGTGCAGACATTATTAGGAGCTGGCAGACAGTCTTTGCTTCGTACAAACAAAAGTATGAAAATTTTATGAGAATGTTGAGACTTCTTGATGTTTCATGCCTTTTCTGTGTTTTTGCATGAAAACAGGCTTGCCTACAATTTTTGTGTAATTCTCTTAAAACAGGTTGCAAACATGTTGTATGGAAGGGATCTGCTCTTGCTGCTCTACATTGTGGGAGGCCTCCAGAGTCCCCTGTAAATTATGGCAGTCCACCTAGTATAGGTAAGTCAATTTTACTATGGCATTGCCATTGTAATACCTAACTCCCAGGGTGATTGACTGTTGTGATGAAGAGAGCTAAGTAGTAGTTCTGTTGATATTTGTCCTTGTTTGTGTCATATACCTTACCTTTAGTAGTATATTTATTAAGATGTTGTGTTGTCATATTTACTGGTTTGTATGTGAGGGAAAAAAATGGGTATTGTAAACTCATACACTGGTTCTGCTCTGAAGCTAATTTTGTCTTTGAAGTATGAAGTGGAATAAAATGTATTTCAACAGTGAATATACACAAATAAAACTTTCTTTAAGATGTAATAAAGCTGTCAGTAGATAAATAATTAGTACTATATAACAACTTAAAACCAGGACAGCATGGCCTGCACCCATTGTTGGGGAGAATAAGTCACATAGACTGGTACTGGTTTTCTTTGGAAAGATTTGAGTGTCATGTAGAAGTAATTCTTTCTGCTCTCTGATCCATTCAGTAATTTTGTAGCTGTGCTTTAGTTTGCTGTGCTATATCATGAAGCATGCATATGCTGCCTGTACTGTTGAAAAACTGAGAAGCTGGAAGTCAGGGGTGTTCTTTTTCTCTTTTTCTTTTTTAGTTATTATTTTTAAGCTCTCAAATGGTGACTAAAACATGTTCGTTAGCTTTCAACCTTTTAACAAGAAGGTACATCATTTTTCTAATTGCTAGAAGAATGAAGACATGATATTTTAGGAGATTCTTTAAGGAGCATCCTTTTTCCTTTGTCATGGATAGAAAAATGTGCAAAATCACTTTCGTCTTTTCATCTTTCTCTGCTGATGTCCAGGGAAGGGTATATGGTTAAGACCAAATTACCAGCATGGATTATACCAAAACAGTAGTGGTTTATACCAAAACAGTAGTTGCAGATAGATGTGCAGTATTGGATGAGAGTGGGCAGAGAATATCTGCCAAGAATAATACCAGTTGATTGGCTTCTGGTCAGGTGTGGCTGCTGCAGAGACAAAGGTTTCTGTCTTGGCAAAAAAGGGATGCCTGATTTTACAGCGGGGGAACTAAGAGTAACAATGTACAAATACATAGCCAGGTGCTTTTCGAAACAGAAGCATTTTTAATGTGCTAACTTGCCACTACAATTTCTCAATCTCTAAACGCCTTTTGGAGGCTGTTGGTAGCCTGTAAGTTTTCCATGAAGTAGGGGGGAAAGATATATGTAAAAAAATAATTGAACATGCTTAGTTTGAGCTATTTATATTACTTCTAATGTTGAAGAAACTCAAAATCAAATCTCAAAATACGTACCATACACTTTACGCAGAGAATTACAGTTCACTCTCTGAAGCAGAAGCATGCTACAGCTAGGAAGCTCTTAGGTTGAGCACATCCAATTTTGACTTGGTCCGATGGCGAAGTATTTGGTGTCCTACTAGCTCTTCCATCTTAAAGGACAAGTTGCATGCTTTCCGTGATATTTCTGTAGATGGTTGTAATATAGGAAGAGAACATGGTTTTGCTGGGTGTTTAGTGCTAAGTTTTCAGAATCTCCTCAGCTAGTATGTGTATTGGTCAGAGGTGGTTCACTGAAACCCTCATGTAGCACCTGCACCCATTCAGTGTGGTTTAGTTTAGAGCTGCTATTTTGGTGTTCGTGTTAGAGAGTTGTTTCTGTGTTGTGCTCTAGATGCGGGGGAGAAAATGCTTGTTGCCGCATAAAATAATTCCCCACTTGAGTGGCTGTGCATTGGCTTGAAGATTGTAAAGTTGGAAAATCTTGGGCTAGATTAGCAGCTCTTTCTGCGCAGTGGCTAGAGGACTGAGCTTTCTAATAGCTAAGATTTTTTATTTTTTTAGTGGTCGTCTTACTTTTTCCTTTACTTGGGAATACACTTTAAAACATGCTGGAGAAATCAAGAGTTGAAGAGGACTTTTTTTTTTCTGTAGCTTGCTCCATGGTATATAGTTTTTAAAGGGAGAAGGACCATTGCATGAAATCCATGGCAGCTGGAGTTCAAAGTAAGTTGTAGAGTTGCTGTGGTAGTGGAATGAAATGTTAAGAAAAATAACTTTCAGATTATTTTTAGGGAAGAAAAAGTGAGGCTTTCTAAATAAATGCTGTTTTATTGAAACTTTTGCAGAGCACTAAATATTTGCAAAATTACAGTTATTTCAACATACCACTTTTTTCATGACCAGTAATTTCCTTTTCCAAACATTGAGATAAGTGCTGGTAACTGAATGTTTTCAACTGTGAAGTGTATTTGGATTTTTTTTATTTTTTGGTTGTCTGGTTCACAGTTGTGTGTTAAAGCATTTGTTTTTGATTTATCCTATTCTACTCTGATCCTCTCAATGAAGTAATGAACTGGTATGATGCTTATTTTATAAATTGAACTGGAAAATTTTGTTCTGTTTCCTTAAATAACTTCTCCATTTTACCCTGGGAAGGCTGTACTTTATGTATTTGCTCAACAAAAAAAATTGGAACCTAGTATTCTTCAGGCAGTATGTATTTCAGGTGGAGAACCTACTAGTGGTTGAGGAACAGAAAAGATAGTGAAGTCTTTCTGTCTTGTGCAGGAAAACGTAATTTACATTTCACTGAACATACAGAAATATTCACTCATTTCTTAGCGTGATAAACCAATGCAATTATGATGCTGATGGGATATTCTTTAGAATTAAATTTTTGTGTATGATGTACCAGCTGCCTTGTTGGTAGCTGGTTTATATGCAATTAAAATACATCTGTACAAATACGTACTTCTCCAGAAAACTACAGAGTATCTGTAGAACATAATAAAGAGAAACAGAACTTGAATACGGAATAACCTTTGTCAGGTTGCCATCACTTGTGCAACATACCTTATAAAAAGTGGCTGAAGTGCTTAATTAAGAATAAAAAGATCTATGTTGTGCGTGCGTTTGTTTTGTCAAAGGTCCCATTTTCTTGGATGCAGAAACAGAAAAACAACTCTCTTTTTCAGTAATTTTCAGGAACTGCTGAAAAAGTGTAGAACCAAAGCATAAAGCTTTGAGATCTTTGAGCTCAAAGCTCTTGGGGAAGCTGGTCACTCAGGTGTGAAGACCTGAATAAGACTGGCTGTTGGCTCTAGACAACAAAGAATATTTTTCTTGACCAATGAATATATCTGCCTTTCAAAAACGGTATTTCATGGTCTTGCTGAACAGTCCACTTCAAGAAAAGTTCAGAGGCATTTGCACTTTTGTCACAGTTTCTTTATTAAATGATGCCGCTGTTTTGGCTGTAAAGAGAATGTGAGGTTCCGAAAGTGGTGTAGATGTCTGTTTTTAGAAATTTAGTAAATACTTTAGGCCTAAAAGCTAACCTAAGAAATTTAGTAAATACTTTAGGCCTAAAAGCTAACCTAAGAAATTTAGTAAATACTTTAGGCCTAAAAGCTAACCTAAGAAATTTAGTAAATACTTTAGGCCTAAAAGCTAACCTAAGAGTATCTTGTGTAACTGTTACTCTGTTAGTTACAGTAAAAAAGTAAAAGACCACCTTGTGTCTGTGTAAAAGGATCTGTGTAAAAGTAACATCTTGTTTGTTACACATGTTTATTCAAGTCTAAAGTGAATTTTACTAAAGTAAATGACTTCTTGTTATGCAAGAAGAAATGAGCTATAGAAGTCTTATGGTACTTTGAGTAAAATGCAAACTGAATACATACATAGTGAAAGCAAGTGGGATTGCATTGAAGTCAGGGAACAGTTTGGAAATGCTTGAGACTGTATAGCTTTCATTTGTTTTTACCTTCTGCATTTCCAAACGTCTCACTTCCCACCTCTCTGAATTAGTAAGGGTTCGCAGTTACTTTTGTTGAGCAAACTAGTATTATATGTAAAGTTTTAGATGTATATAGAATTCTTATATTTTCAGAAATGCTCCAGTGAGGAGTCTGTATACTTTGCCTTCATGAATCATAGAATCATAGAATCGTTTAGGTTGGAAAAGACCTTTAAGATCATCCAGTCCAACCATTAACCTACACTACCAAGTCTACTCTAAGCCAATCAATGAAATGCCCAGAGACAAGTTCTGGCTTGATCAAATTGCTAGCTTAACCACTTTACTTTGTTGACAATCATCTATGAACCAGGAGACTTGGAGTACTGGATAGAGTTTAGACATTGAACAGAAAAATGATAGGAAGGTAGAAGTCAATTCAAGCTGCTTTTTTGGTCTTGGACGTCTTTACAGAAGGGGAAAAAAAACCCCAACAACCTAAAACTGGGTGCTTGATACATTTGGTCATACTAGCTTGGAGAGTGAAAGGAGGAGGCTAGCGGTCTCTTTTTTTATTATTTTTAACAATTCTGAATGCCTTGATATTCATTAGAGGTGTGTCTAGCCTCTCAGGTTATGAAACTTGATTCAGTATGGGTAAGAGTTGTAGGTTAAATATATTCTTCAGGTGTCCTTCCAGGTTTCTTCTGAATCTGGTTCTATTTTTGTGTGAATGGAAGGGGAATGAAGGTAAACTCTGTTCTTCAGAATAGAATTTTAATTAGTTAAATACAACTCCAGAAAGGAAGAAAATGAAAGATAAACCATAATGATTTTTGTGTGTGCTTTTTTGAAATGTAACTTGTACTTGGTACAAAATATAATTGGGTTTATCACTGGCTAGTGGATAAGGCAGATTACTTTCCCCCGTTTTTAAGGCATATTTCACATTCCAGGATAAGACCATGTAAATAAGGCAATGGAGTTGGTCACTTTGATAACTGAAAGAAGGCGGCCAAGGGGAAAAAAAAAAAATCAGCATAGTTAATACTGCCATATCTTCCCCCCACCCCCCACACCGACACC